GCACACACGCACACACGCACACACGCACACACACACACACACACCCTTTGCCGCCTCTCCTTTTCCGGCCCCTGGCCATCGGCCCTGCCCTTGCATGACACCCGATAGCACGCGCCTCTTGACACTCGGTTGTGCCTCCCCTCCCAGAAGTCGATCAGGCCTTCGAGGAGGGCCGTCGCCTTGGATTGGTCCGCTTCCTGGAGGCGGTACTCAGCCATTCGGCCTACTCCGGCGACGAGATTGTCACCGGCTTCATGACCATCGACTCGCAGGAGAGCTTCGCCCAGTGGAAGCGCGAGCATGACCGCGCCGTGTCGGCCGCCGCCGAGGGCGGCCTCCAGGTGGATGAATTCTCCGTGCACCCGGTGGCGCGGACCATCTGCACGGCCTTCGAGCGGACCGGCGGCTCGAGCATCACCCTGGCCGACCTGGGCATCTCGCCGGCCGACCTGGGCCTGGATCCGGCCATGTCCATCGGCTCGTTGGATGGGGACTTCCACACCCAGACCGACCGGCTGCCATCCCTGTGTGCCTCGATCACCAAGTTCACCGAGTCCCTGGAGGGGATCCTCCGCCGGGCGCGCACCGATGCCTCGGAGCTGGTGAAGATCGCCCACATCCAGCAGTGCGTGCCGGCGTGCCTCCCTTTGCCTGGTGGTCCTTTCCTCCGTGCAAGCGCGCTCTTCCCTGGCACCCGCACACATGCGCAGCCGCGTCCCACTCACCTCGCCTTTCCCTCCCCCCGCGTCGTCCGCCTCTTCGCGCACACGCACACGCACGCACACGCACGCACGCACGCACGCACGCACGCACGCACGCACGCACGCACGCACGCACGCACGCACGCACGCACGCACGCACGCACGCACGCACACACACACACACACACACATCTCGCTCCGCCCTCGCTCATGCGGCCAAAAGGTCCCTCATCGAGTCGCAATTCCCCTCGTCCTACCTGTCCTCGAACTCCACCTACCGCATCCTGTCCACCCGGCTGGAGGACCTGTCCAAGGCCCAGGGCGGCTTCTGCACCTACCTCGGGGAGACCGTGACCGAGCCCCTGCGCCACTACCTGAGCCAGGCCCAGTCGCTGCAGCAGCTGATCGACCGGTGGACGGTCATGAGCGCCGAGCGCCTGGCCCGCCAGGAGGACCGTGTTGTGGCCTCGAAACAGCGCCTGGCCACGGCCGTGTCGCGCGGCGTGGCCGGCAATGCCCTGGAGAAGCTCGCATCCCAGGTGACCGCGGTGCGTTGAAGGCTGAGCATGTCCTCGAATCCGGCGTTCCGCCTACCCCCCTCCAAGCAAGGGCATTGACTCATCCTCCCTGGCTGTTGGTGGGCTTCCCCTTATCCCCGTCCCTCTCTTTTTCCCCCTCTCGCGCGCCTCCACAGGAGGAGAATCTCCTGAAGAACCTCCGCCAGCGCGACATGTTCGCCCGGTACTGCCTGCAGCTGGAGTTCCTGCACTTCAAGAAGCGCGGCCATGTCCTGGCCCGGGCCATTCGCGATTGGGCCGTTCGGAATGCCCAACACGCCCAGGAGGTGGCCGCCGCCTACTCGCAGATGGTTTCGCTGGCCAACAACTTCCCGGCGGAGTTCTGAGCGGCGCGGCCCGGCGCGACGGCGGCCGGACACCGGAGCGCGTACACATATGTGCCCCAGTGCGGGCCCCCGCCCTTCGGCTCCCGGCCATCGGGCGTGCGCCTTGCCGGCGGCCTCCGCGCGTGACAAAAGAGCCCGGCCCGTCTGCCGTGCCCTGCCCATCGCGCGGGCCACAGGTCGCTGGCGGTGGGCCGGGACGGCGGGGCGGGCGAGGCTGCCCCCCCCCCCCCCCCCCGCGCATGCACATTCATCATACACACACATACACACAGATATACTGATGGATTAATATATTTATATATTTCCTTTTATCCATATGTACACACACACACACACACACACGCCCTCACAGATCCATGACAATGTGCCAGCACCCGGCCCCGGAGCCGCGCAACCGCGCAGAAACCACACCAACAACCAGGCATGCGGCCTGGCGGGGTCAACAAGAGGCGGGGGCCGGGGCGAGGGGGAGGTGCGTGCACTCCGGCCGGGCGGCGGTACTTGTCCGATGAATTGGCACCTGCCGGCGGCCAACCCTCCGCGCCCTGTCCGTTGTTGTGGGGGGGTGCGCGTTGCCGCGCGCGCGCGCGCCAAAAACGCCGGGGCACACTCTTGCGCGCCAAAAGCGCCGACGCACCGCGGCGGCGATGACTCCCGTGCCAACTGATCGGGCTTCGGCTCCGTCGGCCCGCGTCCGGGGCGGCGCGGTGAGGCGCGCGCGCGCGCCCGAGCCCGCTCCTGGCCCGGGCCGAGAGCCGTGCCCCAGCCCCCGCGCCTCCCCCAGCCCCAGGCGATCGGGCGGGCGTACCCAAACGCGGGGCCTCTCTTCGGCCAGCCGTGTGGGAGCCCAGTGGACGTTAGGCCCCCGCCCCGACCCTCAAGCCGCCCCCGCTCGCCCTGCTCCTCTCCCCGCCTGCCCTCTTGTTGAATCCGCCTGCCGCGCCGCCTGTGTGTCCCCGCCTCCCGCCCGTGCTGGCCTTCCTCCCTGTGTGCCCC